TTTCCCACAATTGTTTCTTCCGACGAAACACGCGCCAGATCAACCATACGTATTGTTCGGGTTCCGTCTCGTTTTCTTACGCGTGTCTACGTAGCTTATTTACGTATTGTCTCCCTCCGTTCGTCGACCCACACCCTCGTCCATCCGTCCACCCATTCGTACGAACCATTCTTTCTCGTTCCGTTAGCCGACGGTAATTTATTTATTCCCGTCGGAAATGTGACACGTGGCATCGTGATCAGAACGAAATCGCTAGAAATCTAATTTATCGCGCCTCGTCACCCGATTGCATCGCGATTAACCAACAATTACCAGTTTATTTTCGGAAATTTTCATCGAAGTTTTAGTTGTTCGACAAAAATATAGTTTTAAAATGGCAGTAACGGTGCATCATAAGTTTTTGAAATAGTGGTTGAATATATGTCATCCCCCAAATGAGAAGACCATAGCAAGCTGACATTTTCCTCCCTTTTTCGAAGGCACGATTAAGCTCGTTCGACCATTTTACTCTTCCGTAGCCAAAGTACACCCCCGATGGCCGAGATTGCCCGAGAACCGGAGCAACGAACTTTTCGATAAGGTGTTAAAAAATTCGCGCAATGTAAATATATACTCTGGTACATCCCGCATGCTGAATAAATAAATAAATTGGCAAGGTTGAGGCGCTAAATAAAATAAATCTAAATACGACTTATGAATTTCAACGCGGGTACGAGAATAGATACCCGGAACAAAGTTCAGGTCGCGCAGTGTTTCCAATGGTCTAAAAAGAAAAGCGTTGACCCAGCGTAGTGACAAACAACGAGTTCACGGATTCGTGATCGCGCGAAATAATGTTCGACCAGGAAAAGAGATCGAATCTAGCGAGACGCGAGCTTTCATAATGCGAGGAACGAAGCAACGTGCCGCTGATCGCGATGTTTATTCGCGTACGTCTATTTGCGCAATAATAAGTGCAACTATACGCAACGTGGATGTCGTAAACGCGAAGATCACGATCCTCTCGAGTTTAGCCGCGATCGAAGGGGGCGGGGGAGGCGAGCGCGCGACACTCTCGATCCGAATCGGCTCGCTTAGGGGAGACTCGACGGGACCGCGAGGAACGCCGCCATACTTTCGACGAAAGAATTCCTCGCGGCGATCCGCGTACGCGTATTATTCAAATCGCGAACCGCGGCCTTAGACATTTCCCACGCGTACCACGGCAACCTTGTCCAGTTCGTGAGATAAGAGAATCTTCGAACGTGACGCGCGAGAAAAAATATAACTTCGACTCGAAACGACAAGTGAACGCCTGTAGAACAGGTTTCCGCCATTCCTCCACACATTTCTTTCGAAATTTCACCGCGCTATTCTCACCTACTTTTCTTATTATAACATTGCAAAACTAACGAATTTAAATTTTTATCGTCGACTAGATCAAACCTCGATTACAATTTTAGAAACAGTAAAACGATAAAATTCTCATTTTATCATTCAGTGCCGAGGTGCGCGCGCGGCGAATCCCCGTCGGGAATTTCCCTCGATGGCCGAGAAAACGTCGCCCGACATTGTTCCGCGCGAGACCGTCGAGCTCGAAATCTACGAGCCGAGGCGAATCGAAAAATGGATCAAGGATGTTTCGTCGTGGTACATATCCTTGAAACTTTTCCGCGAGTAGAACCGTCCGAGGCCTCCGTCGTTTCTTCTCCAGCAGGGGGGAAACGCGAACGGACGAAAGTACGCGCGGCACGCGCGAAAAGAAATGTACAAATAACTCGTGCCGTTTACCGGCGCGTTTGTCGCGTCTTTCTACTCCCGAGAAACGTACCAACCGGCACCGGGACAGGTATTTCTATCGCGAAAACAATTTTTCTTCCACTCGAAAGTATTCCACGCGATCTCGCAATCGGTGCTAGAGCACACGTCCAGCTCTAAACCAGGGATTGGATATGATTTTTATATCGGTACAGTAACAATTCTTAAAATTGAGATGTGTTTCGTAAGTTGAACATTTCATTGTTCAAGTGTTCGATTTAGCGTGTGTACTTATCAGAAGATCACCTGTGCACGATCTACCTTCAAATTAGTGTGCAACGATGCCCCGTTAAATATCATAAAGAAGTACTTTTAAATGTACGTTGATATTAAAAATTTTAATGGGAGATTCTAGTGGACAAAATAAGACGAAAATCAAGAATAACAGTTTCTTGATTGAGGCTTCGTTAAAAAGTTATTAACGTTCAAAGTTGCGTCTGTAGAACGGCAATTTGTCCACCTACTCTAATTTTTTTCTCGAAATTGGGTAAAATTTCGAAGGTATGTCTATTCACCAAAAATTATTATAATTGACCCCCGGAGCTAAAAATAATTTTTCCAGAACGATATAAAATTTTTTAATTTTTGTCGCATTTGTCCACTTACTGAATTTTTTTCTCGAAATTGGGTAAGATTTCGAAGGTATGTCTATTCACCAAAAATTATTATAATTGACCCCCGGAGCTAAAAATAATTTTTCCAGAACGATTAAAAATTTTTCAATTTTTGTTGAATTTGTCCACTTACTGAATTTTTTTCTCGAAATTGGGTAAGATTTCGAAGGCATGTCTATTCACCAAAAATTATTATAATTGACCCCCGGAGCTAAAAATAATTTTTCCAGAACGATTAAAAATTTTTCAATTTTTGTTGAATTTGTCCACTTACTGAATTTTTTTTTGGAAAGTGCTTAAGATTTCGGGGGTATGTCTATTCACCAAAAATGATTGTAATCGACCCCCGGAGCTAAAAATAATTTTTCCAGAACGATTTAAAATTTTTTAGTTTTTGTCGAATTTGTCCAATTACTGAATTTTTTTCTCGAAAGTGCTTAGGATTTTGGAGGTATGTCTATTCACCAAAAATTATTGTAATTGGCCCCCGTAACCAAAAATAATTTTTTCAAAATGATTTGAAATTTTTAATTTAATTTTTTAATAACTTTTTAACGAAGCCTCAATCAAGAAATTGATATTCTTGATTTTCGTCTTATTTTGGCAAACATTTCTATCCCTCTCAACTTTTATGTTATTTCGAATCGCGAACATTTCAGAATTTCAGGCAGTGCAAATGAGTAAATAGGGTAAAAGTAATTGAAGATTAGAATTGGATTAGCTACAAACTGAATAAGATCCCTAGATCCCCTTGCATGTCCTTATTTGATCGGGTAATTAATAGATGACACTCGTTAGTTAGATTATAGTCTAATCACCTAATGTCATCCCTGTCATTCGCGTATCCATACTCAAGCCACTGTCTGAGGACTTATTAAACTTGTTAAGTTGTACGTGTCGCACATAATAGACACGTATAGATACGTTTTAATACAGAACAATACCATCTAGTACCAATAATATCAATGCAATGATACTACCATGGTCACTAGTAATCATCAAGCTGCTAATTTTATGTACGATTTACACGAATATGAAAAACGTATGCATAAACGTAGAATATTTGTTAACGTAAAACAAAAAATTGATATTATTGTATTAACTTGTGATATATTTATCTATGTATGTTTTGTACGCGTTTTATATATCAGAATACGTCAGAAATGCATAAAATCCAGAGTCCAGGCATGCTTAGTGCGATTCTTCGATTTGACGATTAAAGAGTCGTGAAATCAATCTTGTGTTACATTTTAAAAATATAGATTTGTATGGATCGATTCAAGATTATGTATTTTAATTCTTTTCCTGGGGCTTTTTGAGAACACAATTAATTTACATCAAGAATTTGATTGGAAATCGAATATTAAAAATAAACAATAATCTATGACGATATAGTAAGAAGCAGAGAAATCAGTTTGGAAGAAATTTGGTGTCACATTGGGTCAGACGTTGCAGTCAGCCTTCGTACGATCTGTGACTACTAACCACAATTTTAGTATGAGAAAACAGTAATATTCAAAAATTCATAAAGTGTTACGGTTCGTTCAATTTAAGTGTTTGAAGGAGAAGTACACAGTTGAACAAAATTCTTAGAATCAGTTTGAGGTCGTTCTTTGTCATTCCTCCATAATCTTATTTATTTTAAACATTCATTAGGCTATAGTTCGAGGCGATAGCCTAATCGTCCGGACACGCTTATTCACTCGTTGATCTGCTTCTTGTTAGTCACGACAAATGGGAAGATTTTCTTCGAATGGGAATTCAGATTCATCAACATTTTTGGAAAATATTTCACTGTTAGACAAGATTTCTTCTCACTAATAACATTACCGTCGTAAAAATTCGTGTTCAATTCTCGACACTTTTAACCAAATTTAGTAGTTAGCAGAATAGAAAGTAAAATTTCGTCGTATTACCATTCCCTTTTCGACTATTTTTGATCTTATCGTTAGAATTATTTTTTCTTATTTTCAAAGTTTCCGAAAAAAATTCAAGGTATCTTATAGCCACCCCTAAGCACGCCCAAGACTCTGCAAAGACTCTGCCAATAATTTGTAATTACAATTTCATGAATTTTTAACGAGGTGAAAGATTTGACTAATTCACCTTTTTGGGGATCCAACCCCAATATGATTTTAAGCACTTCTAATAGACAAATCTCTTTCTCTTTCGCTCATTGCACTTTTACATATTTCAAACTATTTTATTACACAACTGCTATCGAAACGATTCGAATCTTCATCTCAAAAACTTGGAAGCGTTTCGAAGCTGAGATTCGATCAGCTCGAGTCTGTTAAAAAGTAAACGAAAGGATGAATTTACCAATTTCATGAATTTTCAACGTGGTAAAAGATTTGACTAATTCACCTTTTGGGGGACCCAACCCCGATAGAATTTTAAGCACTTCTAATAGACAAATCTCTTTCTCTGTCGCTCATTGCACTTTTACATATTTCAACCTATTTTATTACACAACTGCTATCGAAACGATTCGAATCTTCATCTTAAAAACTTGGAAGCGTTTCGAAGCTGACAATGAGATGAGACCAGCTCGAGTCTGTTAAAAAGTAAACGAAATGATGGATTTACCTGGGTGGCGAACCGCATAAGCGACGGTTTGGGCTCCCTCTGGAACTCGTACGAGGATTTATGTCGATCGCCGCCGGACGAGGCCTTCAACGGCTTGCTGTCCTGGGAACTCATGTTTGATTTCGTGGTGACCGAATAGGGAGGCTGATCTCCGGCCAACAGTGGATCTATTTGTTTGTAGTCGTGGTCGAGATCCTTCTCCAGGGGATCGTAAATGCGTGACCCGTTCAGGGCCTTCTGGTGATTGTTCCTCAAGTTTTGTTCATAATAATGACTGGCTGGAGCGGCGCCTACGCTGCCTGGAAAGGCCCTCTTCTCCGCGATGAGGGCGGTTTGGCTGTTGAACGGGCTCGCGTTCGTCAGAAGGGTCGTGTTGGAGGCACAGTCCAGGTTGATACCCGAGCTGGACGGTGTCGATCTCGTCACCGTGGGCACCTTCGTGTAGTATTTCGGCAAAATGCTCCGCTCCTGAAAACAAGACGGATCTCTCGTGAACAAACACCACAAATTCATCCTCGACCACGAAAGACGAACTGGTTAGAACCGTGGAAGATAGTCGTAACTGAATGACACTGAACCCCGTTTATCCCCGGTTTCGTTACGAACTTGCATACATCCCCGATGGCAAAACTTACGTGTAAATTCAGTAGATGTTACCCTGGCGCGAAAAAACCGCGCTTGTCAGAGCTGGAAAGACGATTTGAGACGCCCAGCAACCGTCGCGACGCGATCCACTTTGACAGGGGATGCAAACTTTAAAGTTGGGAGTATTTATACTAGTTTCGTTTATCGTGGATCGTTCCGAGTGAAACAACGCCGAACAAAAGCACGAGAAGGAAGGACGCGGTGATTATCGTAACCAACCAATGACGAAAAGCGACGGACGAGAAGAGCGTGATTCTTGGCAGACGATGAGATGACTTTTACCCCTGGTCACCGATAACCCCAAGCTGAACTCTATGACCAAACAGCGGCTTTTTTTTTTCACTATTGCGAATGTTGTGCTCGTGGCTCCGCGGCGCATCTTACGCGTACACAGGGCCTTGCTCGTTCCATTCACCCGAATTTTTCGACTATCACGCACGAGAATCATGCCCGATCACGCGCGCAACGTACACCAGCTGCAACGTTAATGACCTTCTATCGATTTCCGTTAGTAGATTGAAAAGCAAACGTCGTTACACGTCAGGCGTTATAGATTTGCAAATAATCGTTCCCACATCGCGTTCGAATAATCTTAAATACTAATTCCTTGGCTTCCGGGGCTCGACAACCCGACCACCAATCGACTGTCGACTCCGGAAATTCTTCGGAAACGTTCGACTGCAGCATCCTGATCCATGGGGCTCCTTTGGCTCGCGGGGTGATTTCAGAAACTGGGACAAGCTGTATCGCCATTGCAACCGAAGATACAACGAATTGACACCAGGACAAAGTTCGATCTCGAGGGACTGTCTTTTGTTGACATAATTCTTTTCAAAAATATTAATCAAGCTTCAACAGATACGCGGTGTTATTCCAATCAGATTCGTGTGTTTTCGTTTAGAAAAGAGCTATAGTCCTCAGTTTCCAGAATCACCTCGCAGGACTCCAAACCGTTATACTTAATTAAAACTGCGATTCTCTGCAGAGACATTCCCCAATTACGATCCGAAGTCGATGAATTCGCGATATATGTGGTGTGTTTATTCGAATGAATTAATTTATTCGTTTACTCGAATGAATTAATAAATAATCGCGATTGTTTCTATGCTTGCGTAGATTGCTTCCGGATTCGCCTATTCAAATTTATTCGATATTTTCTGTTTACAACGTTCAGATTCTGCTTTCACGTCAGTCATCGGTGTCGCGATTTCGCGCCATTTTTTCTTCCGTCGGGTGACAGTCTTCTTATCGATACGTGAAACGTCGTTCCCGGTATTTCTCGCCAATATGGGATCGCCAGAAACCGTCTCGCATGTTGGTGCTGACATCACGATTTCGTCTATTCCGTTGTTTACGCGCGCTATCGTCTCTACTTTGGACAGTACGATAAAGCCTTCTCCTTGATGCCCGATTGTCCTCGATATATCGATGCCCCGTCGGCCGCGTAACATGCGTTATTCGTTCTCATTGCTGTGAAAACATCGAACGTATTCGTTTGCACGCGCCAAGTGCTTGCCCGCGAGTTTCGACCGTCGAAGAATAATGGACTACATCGACGCGCCGCGCAATACATTCGCGCATGTCACGTACGTTTCAATTTTTATTTTTACTTTATTAATCACGACATGACCTCATATATCGATCTGAAAAATTAATGCTTTTAATAGTCTCGACGATCAAACAATAAGCGTTTGATCTTTAACACGTTGACTCGTAGCGCAAATTGTAGTGTAAAAACTACATTCGATAGAATACCTCTTATTTTATAGCATTTCTAGTAACAGTAATGTTGTATAGAATTTTAATATAGAATAAAATATTTTATATGAATATCATCCATGTTTCGTTACGAATTTTTCGAACTACCCGACAATTTCACGCGTATCGATGTATCGATCTGAATGGTCGACTTTTACTGTGGCGCTATCTAGTACACGCATTCTGTACTAAAAAACTGCCGCGCGGGACGAAAGTGAAGGGAGCCACTGGAGTTCGTGTCGAGCGAGTGTCGTTCGCACGGCACGCAATTTTATCGTTCGAGTTTCAACTCGGAACACGTCCCTAATCGCGCGGCATCGACGTTCCGCCGCGCTTCGCAAAGATCGCAGGTCGTTCGACGAACCACGGAGCCGCAGGGCTCTCCAAACACGCGCTCCTACCGACGACCAGTTACAAAGCAAACAGGAACTCCCTGCCCGCCTCCGTCGACCGTCGGAGAATCATGTTGGAGGTTATTTTTCTTTTTTTCTTATTATCTTTCTCTGATCGCATCGTATAGTACACCGGTATCTGTGATGCTTCGAATCCTACGTACACACCGACGCAGAACTTCTGTTTGTCAATTTGTTCGGTGATATTTATATCGCGATCACGTGGCGTTACGATATGTTTCGAAAGACATCAAACACGCGAACGGGAAACGTCGGAGTCCCCGTAGCGTCTCGAAATGTTCGATGGCAAATTTTTAGGCCGCCACACGCTTCGACAAAACATTACGTAAGGCTTCGCTCGTGTTCTCTCAAAGGTTAGTTTCGCCGATTCATTTCCAGCTAGCGCGTAGGCTCGCGCGATATGTATTTTTAACTTTCCGTCGGCGCGTAGTTTTATTTAGTCGTCGGTTCTATTTTCGTTCCTTCGGAGAAAAAGCACAGCAACCTTTCCCCTTGAACGGGAACAAATCGCTTCTGTTATTTTTCCGCCGTCGAATCAGTGGAGTAGAGAAGGAGTCACGGCAGGTTAATCGCATCGAAGTAGGCGAAACAAAGACGGTAAACACGATAGAGAAAGGCGCGGCGATTCCGTGTAAACAGAATGTGAACCGTTTGCTCGAAATTCGGCTGCGTGGAAATCGATCTTCGAGCGTCGTGTTTCGAATGTCTCGAAAGTGCAGCGAGAAGTTGCGTCATTCGTATCTACCGAGAAACGTGGAAAATGAATTGATTTTTCTCGCATGCACGAGGCAAACAACCGTAGCATGCGCGCCGTGTGTGTTCGAAGGTAAAATGTTTCGTTGGTTCTATCGTCGCGCGAATGCAACAGGCACGATGCTATTCCCGTTCGTCTTTTCGACTCCATTCCTCCGTCTGGACATTTGATAGAGGTTAAGTGGGGTACGGGCAAACGTTGCAATAGCGAACAGTAACGCGGTACAGGTAAGCAGAAAACAAAGCTGTGCAGAATTTTATTCGAGTAATATCAATAGTACAGATGAAAAGAGATTGAGTATAGCGATTTATTCGATCGAATAGTTATCCAGATAAACTTCTATTCTTTATTTCGACAAGAATTTTGCTCGTTTCTGGGGGAAAAAGTTTATTGCGATGCGCTTTTCCAGTCGACGTAGCAGACATTTTTTGGCTACTAAGATTTGCGCAGATCCTAACCTAACATCGTGAACTTTAGAGCGAGTCGATTTTAGAAATTTCTCCGAACGAACGATCCAAAACGGAACGGAACGGAGAGTGGCGTCGGATTTCTCTAGCGAAATGTTACACAATGGTAGTCATCAGCTATTCGACCGATCTTTTGACCCTGATCTGTCGTAAACAATGTGAAACGTAAATACCCTAAAAATGGAAGTTCGCGTGCTGCGTAAATCTCGATACAGAGTCCGGACGCGAACGCGTCGCAAAATTGAAGCAGCTGCATCTAACCAGTATGCACCACTTTGCAATACATCGACGCCTGTTCTTTCTGTTTCTCTCCGCGCCACGAGATTCGCGCGTGAATCTGCGTCACCGGGACAAGGGGAAACGGAAAGGAACCTTAACGAACCTTTGCATCAATGTAGTCGAGCAACAATACGACCGCCATTTTAGTCGAATTCGAACTGTACGTAAAGTCCACGGGGGTCGCGTCATGCTTATTCGAACAATATCAGTGCATACATAATTTCTGTCGACATGTAACAGGATTAATGAAATGATAATTATGAAAATGGTAAACATGATTTATTGACAAGATTTTAACACGTTTACTGCCACGTACGTCACCTATTCAAATTGTTTGCTAAATTTGCAATAACACTTGTTCTGTCGAAACGTGTTCCTCTTTCCTGAAACGTATAAAATACCTTGAAGATTCAAGAAATTTAATGATAAAATAGATGGACAAATTTATATTTTTGTATTGCAACCTGATCCATAAACCAACAAAGAAAGTTATCTATTAAAAGTATTTTACGTTTGTTGGTTACTATGGGTCCTAATAAAGAACGAACGTTTTTCGATTATTTTGAAGAGATTAGATATATGTACAGGGTGTTCGGCCACCCCTGGGAAAGATTTTAATGGAGGATTCTAGAGGCCAAAATAAGACGAAAATCAAGAATTCCAATTTGTTGATGGAGGCTTCGTTAAAGAGTTATTAACAATTAAATTCAACAATTTCAAATCGTTCTGGAAAAATTATTTTCGATTGCGGGGGTTAATTACAGTCATTTTTGGTGAATACACATACCCCCGAAGTCCTATCCACTTTCGAGAAAAAAATTCGAGTAGATACTGAAATATTTAGACGAAATTAAAAAATTTCAAATCATACTAAAAAAATTATATTTAGTTACAGGGGTCAATTACAAGCACTTTTTGTGAATAGACATATCCCCGAAATCCTAACCACTTTCGAGAAAAAAATTCGAGTAGATGTGGAATTTTTCGACGAAAAAAAAAACTTTGAAATCGTTTTGGAAAAATTATTTTCGGTTGCGGAGATCAATTACAATAATTTTTGGTCAATAGACCTAACCTCGAATTCCTAACCACTTTCGAGAAAAAAATTCGAGTAGATGTGGAATTTTTCGACGGAAAAAAAATTTCAAATCG